GCGACATCAGTCAGTGGCATTGACACCGATCTCCTTGTCCTTTCTAGACCACTTTGCAGCCATATGCTGTGGGCATCAGGCATTAGGCAACACATTTACATTTAATATTAAATCATTAATTTATGTAATATGTTGTCATGCTGTTTGATAAATGTAAGTATCACCCTCCCACACAAGGTTCTGTTGTCATTTGGTGTGTTTGTACATGAATGAACCCAGCCACGGAAGGAGAGTTGTGTGTATATATATGATTGCGTCCTACATCAGCCTAGGTCCAGAGTGTTGATCTTAGTTGCCACTCAGCAGCTCCATGTGATTCTGCTCTCTTTAGCTTGTTGTTCTAGTTCTCATGAATTAAACAGAGTCCAATATGAAATACCAATGTTAAAATCTCCTCCCACAGCTGGCAGTGCCTTTTGACGTGAAGTTCCGCATTAAGGGGAGAGATGTGGTGGTGGACATACAGCGACGCTCCATCAAAGTCGGCCTAAAGGGACACCCTCCTGTGGTTGAAGGTCAGCTCTACAACGAGGTGAAAGTAGAAGAAAGCTCCTGGCTCATTGATGATGGCAAGGTGGTCACAGTCCACTTGGAAAAGGTATGGAAAGAGTCGGCATGGATCACTGGGCACAGATGACAGTCATCAATTTGGTTCTGTTTTGCAATAGTAAAGTGAATCCAAAGAATGAGCATCTGAGATTAATAATGTAATGTATTTATTTTATTTGAGATTAATAAAATGGAGTGGTGGAGCAGAATTGTCACCACCGATCCAGAGATCAACACCAAGAAAATCTGTCCAGAGAATTCAAAGGTAAAGGATGAAAAGCTCTGTTGCAGTAACTGTGTGTTCCTGAATGTGACAGTTTACTGACACGTTCCTTCATCTCCCTGCCCTCCTCGCTGTTTGTGTTTCCCGCTGAGCAGCTGTCGGACCTGGACGGGGAGACGCGTGGTATGGTGGAGAAGATGATGTATGACCAAAGGCAGAAATCAATGGGTCTGCCGACATCTGAAGAGCAGAAGAAGCAAGACATCTTAAAAAAGTAGGTTTCTAGTGTTACATCCAAATAAACCTGTTCAGCTTGGCTCAGGTTTTGTTATCATGAAACTTTAAAGATCTTTTTATTCTCTTTATTCTATGATTTGTTTGGTCTGGAGAACTCTCCAACACGGACACTGTATGTTTAACAAACTTTATGCTTTATACAGGATTTTATAATAAGTCAGTTTGAAAGCTACCTGTGTAGTTTTGCCCTCAGTGTTGTCTATTTCTGCTCAAGGCCAGACTCACCTGTTGTAACTGAAGATAAGTGTGGTGATCTGTTTCAAGGACACAGGGGACACATGGATCAGGGACCAAAAATTAGTCTTAAGGGCACCAGTTAGCAGTGTCCTCGTAGTTTTTAGATGCCCCTTCATTGTGAGTCTCCCTTGACTTATAGTGAATCACTAATACTTCGTGATGGATGGAAAGCCCATTCCTAGACTACAGGTTCTCCTAGAGTAGATATTAAATGCGGCTTTGGTGCATGTTAAAGCTAATAGCCTTGATCTTATGTTTTAGTTCATTAACTTTAAATTGTGTTTACATTGCTCCCAACCATTTTTTATGACCTGCATAAAAATGTAATATTGACTTCCTGTCCTCCAGACTCCACTGGTTTCAATTCATTTTAGTCTCGGCAAGGTGATTTAGATGGTGAACAAACAAATACATGTAATCCATCACAGTTAACAAGTTGTCACCTTAATGTTTGGTCAAAGTTTTGTTTAACGGTGAAACTGCAGACCCTTTTAAAGTTATTCTTGTTGTTGCATTTAAAGGGAAGCTCCACCAGTTTTACAGTCCAGTTACCTATTTTGGGGAGTACTGCTGTGTATATGAGGAGGTAGAAGCCTTTTGTGGCTCCAGGCACAGCTGTGTGAAGTCTGCTGTAAGCTGGTGCTCTGAAGCTACAGGAGCTGCGACTGAACACACCTGAATCTTTACAATAGGCATTGTCTGCAATGGCCTGAACAGAATTGTTGGTCCTTCTTAGAAGTGGTGATAAATATGTGGATTGTAGTGATGTTCCCAGCAGACCATTTTATTAGTAACACACAGGTCCTCAGTCTTATAACTGATTGAAGCCTGTTTCAGCCTGTTTAAGTCACTGTGCTGTTTGGCATCATTGTATTACCCATTATTTTTTTTTGTAGAAGAGAAAGAAGAGTTGTCAGTGGAGGTTAGGATGAAAATGGCTAAAGGCTATAAAACCATCTCTAAGCAACTTGAAATTCCCGTGACCACAGTTGTTTGTGGATTTGTAGCTAACCTCCCTGGACATGGCCTCGAGAGGAAGGGGACCCAGGGAGAGCTCTCTTTCAAAGAGAAACATGGAAACTGACTGGAGTTTGTTAAAACACATGTTGACAAGCCACATTGTTTCTGGGAGACACAAAATGAGAGCTGTTTGGTTATATAGACACATCAGCTCTGCTGTATGTTCACAGAAGAAGGAAGAATTAAGCTTTCCAAGAAAAGAATATTAATGTGTAACATAAAGGATGCTCAGTTATGTTATTGGAAGAGCAATTCGGGGTTCAGTGTCTTGCTCAGGGACACTTAGGCATGCGGGGAGACCGGGAGTCGAACCACCAACTTGCTGGTCAGGAGACGACTGCCCTACCTCATGAGCCACAGCCAGAAAACAACTGAGACATTCTGGAGAGACAGGCACAAGCCGGTGTCAGAGAGCTGTGTCTGTGGCAGCTCACGGCTCCTCCAGCAGGAGGAAGTGAGAAGGTACAGTCTTGGTAAAAGCTGCAAGAAGCGCTTGATTACAGTGGTGGCCTCAGCAGGGTGTGCTCCAAAATATTAGGCTGTTGTATTATTTAAAATGTATTTGCATCCAATTAAAATATTTTAGTTCTGTTTCATATGGAATAGAGAATAGTAGATATCAGGTACTTCTGTCAGGTTTTGTGTGTGTGTTTGAAGTGTGAGGGTGCCAGCACTGAAGGCCAAATTTGTATTAAAATAACAGAAACTGACCTGGATGTGGGATAATGACAGAAGTGTGAAATGTGAAGGATGTCGTCTTATCTCTGTGTCTAGTAAATGACCCTTCTTCCTCTTCCTCTTCCTCTTCTGCTGCTCACTACTGGGGCCAGACGTGTTAGGTCTGCTGTTATGTTGAACTCTAAGTTCAGTAAAGCCCTGGTGTCATTTTATACCCCTGTGGTGACTGCTGTGGAGGTAACCGGTGTCAGGGTTTCTTTACTGACGCAAAGTTCACAGTGTGTGTCTCCAGTAAAATGTGTGGTGTGATGGTGTCATATGACAGGGCTCCTGCAGTTTGTCACTGTCTAAAATAAATAAATACACTCACTGGCCAAGTGGAGGTGCTATAGGTAAAGTAAAAAACGGTGTTCCTGGTGTGCTCAACAAGGAAGTGTTGACAAGTCAGAAATGTACCAGCAAGAGAGAGGTTGTATTAAAATCCAACCAGCTGAACCTGAGATATTATGTAAAACATTAATAAACATATGGAGGCATGGGGAGAAATGGATGCACCAACTGGAGCACGATCATTAAATTGTTCTGTATCAAAAGCTTTTTGAAATATGATTTGCAATAAAAGACTGCATGTTGCTTTGGTGACAACATAACTGTTTTCTTGTTCCTGATGTCTCCTTTCTCTGCAGGTTCATGGAGCAGCACCCAGAGATGGATTTCTCTAAAGCCAAATTCAGCTGAGACCTGCTGTTGGCAGCTTCACCTGTAGAATCCACATTATGATCCATATGAATCATATCAGAAACGGTGTCACCCCCAGCTTCATCTCTACTCTCCAGACTGGACGTGGTTTAGACGACTAACATGTCTTAAGTGCACATGTTTGTTTTCTTTCGTTATGAGAAGCTTAATGACTGTAATGCCCACATTCTCTCTTTACATGTCATTTGAATATTTATGGGTCTGGATTTTTTAAATAAATGAACATAAAAATCTAACTGAGACAAATGAGGGCTTATATTTACTGCTAGGCAGCACAAGGGTCAGCACTTCACCCAAGTGAAGAATCAGTTCCTCAGACTACCACAATTTAAAGGACAGTTATCAGGTGGAAAGGTTTAAGTGCAGAGCTTTTTCTGCTCATGTTTGTGTCTTTGCTGAATTTGAAAAGTTTGAAAGTTCACGTCCTTGAAGAGTTCAAGGTGAAGACTAGTGATTTTTACCTCTAGACTCTGAAACCAGCCATGTATTGTGTTTGGATCTCAGCCAGTCCTCAATATAATGACGACACATTTTCTGGGCCTTTCTAATTAGGTTTGTATACAAGTACATTATAATAGGCAAGTATTGTAAACTAAATATTTACAGTTAATTTATAGCGCTTGTACCAGTTCAGTACTGAGGCATCAAGGAACACAACATGCAGGCTGGAAAGATTTTTAATTTTGAACCACAAGGGAGCAGTGTTTTCAGGCTGAGTGCATTTGGATGGTGGAATGTTACCTAGTATAGTTAATGATGAGTGGATAAAAACACCACTGTTGTTGTAGAAGAGGAAGGACAGATGATCTTATATCTACAGTTAGAGGTTTATATACAGTTAGGTTGAAGTTGTTTTTTTTTTTTTACCACTTCACAGTTGTCATCTTAGGAAACAGTAGTTTAGCAGTGAGTTAGGACGTACTATGTACGACAAGTAATTTTTCAACTGTTGTTTACAGATAGATTATTTCACTTACTATATCACAGTTCCAATGGGTCTGAAGTTTACCTACACTCAGTTGACTGGGCCTATAAACAGCCTGAAAAATCCCAGGAAATGATGTCATGGCTTTAGAAGCTTCTGATTGGCTAATTGACATCTGAGTCAATAGGAGGTGCACCTGTGGATGTATTTTAATGCCTACCTTCAAACTCAGTACCTCTTTGTTGGACATCATGGGAAAATCATAAAAAATCTGCCAAGACCTCAGAAAATGTTATTTTGTAATCATTTTTATTCTAATTTTGAAGTATAAACATTTGAAGTAAAAATAAAGTAGGCTAGGCCTCTGATTTAGCATCTTGTAAAAGTGTCTGACTTGCAATGGATAGTTAAAAGATAAAAATTAAAGCAGCAGGACCATAAATATCATTTTTTTAATTCCTTGTATTCTTCTTTATCAAAACAAAGTGCTGATATTGCCCACAATACAACTCAACTATTCAGTCAAATGTGTTGGTATCTTATGCTAAATCTGAGGTAAACTATCAGACATTCCTCTGGAGAGGCTTTCTACAACTTTATACACATATGCAGTAGCACTGCCCAACACCTGGAAACAGACTTTGATGTGTTGGTAAGTTCCCCTCTAGGTTTGTGAATGGTAGTGTAATAGAAAGGGTTTTATCTTTTAGCTTGCTTTTTAAAAAGTCTTCATATTGGCCTCCATTATTGACAAAAATTGTGATGTTCTCTCTAACTCTTTTCAAAAGGTACAAATTGGGACCTTATGTGAATGCAGTGATGAATACTGAGGATGATACTACTACTTAGAATGAGTGAAAGACAGTTTCAGACCACATTGGATGTTGTGCACCTGTGCTAAATGTTACTTCAATGAGGACTAGTTTGCTTACAAGTATTTTCTGCTTGTGTGACTACCCACAACTAGCTGGACTGAGCTGTCGGGGGTGAGAGGCAGTCACCATCACTGTGGCACTACCCACAACTAGCTGGACTGAGCTGTCAGGAGGGCGAGAGGCAGTCACCATCACTGTGGTGGCTGGAGGAAACATACATTATTAGCTTATGCTGCCTGCAATCCTCCTAATGTGTGAAATTGCTCATGTAGTTCAAAAACACCCCAGACATCTGTCTCATGGAGACCTTAGTGTTATTGCACACTGGTGAATACATGTTTGAGCATTGATTTTTAGGCTATGGCCTATTACCATAATGCACATGTTACAGGTCTTTGATTTGTCATCTGTCATCCACAGCGAATAGTAGCTCAGATGTTATAGAATCAGTGTGGCAGTGATGTCCCCAGCCAGGACTAAATAAGGAACACAGCTAAAGGAAGCACTTTATACATCTCATTTTTGCACACAATAGACAGTTGGATTCTTAATAATGTATGATTTATTATTCCATTGAACTAGGGGTTTCATTTATTTTTTACATGTATTTCAAATGCACCACCTCTCTCTGAGTCTGTGCCCCAGCTTGGCCACCCCATCCAAAATTTTCTAGATCTGCCCTGGTAACCTGGCAAGCTAACGTTCAAATTTGGATTAAATATAGCAAAAATAAAGCTTCTGTTCTTGGGTTGGGTTCAGCCTTTGTAGTTTTTAGCCAGGTCTTGCAGGCTTTTAGCCCTGGTTTCAGTCTAGGTTTTACACCCTTCCAGTATATACACATACTGTGGTATAATCCTTTAAGCCTGTTGGAATATTGGGCAGGAAAATAACTTTTCAAGAATGAAAAATAAATGTTCAGACCTGAAGTGAAGCAGAGGATGTACTTCCTGCGCCAGCTCAGGAAGTTCAACCTGCTCCAGCAGGTGCTAATACAGTTCTACAGAGGAATCATTGGCTCTGTTCTGTGCTCTTCTATCGCTGTCTGGTTTGGATCAGCAACCAAACAGGACTGGAACAGACTCCAGCGAACAGTCAGGATTGCAGAAAGAATAATCGGCACCATCCTGCCCTCCATGGAGGACCTGTACACCTTACAGGTCAAAAGGAGGCCAGAGAAGATTTCTGCAGACCCCTCACATCCTGGACACAATCTGTTTGAACTCCTCCCCTCTAGACAGCGTTACAGGTCACCGTGCACTAAGACAACCAGGCACAGGGACAGTTTCTTCCCCCAGGCCATCACCCTGATTAACACTTAACCCATGACTGTATAACAAAACGACAACCCTCAGTGCAATACCTTGAAAATATATTTTGTATATATCTGTCTGGAAAGCTGCATCTAAATTGTGTTATATATTTCTACATTAATAAGTACCCTATATATTTTATTTTGATTTATATTTTGATTCTGATTCTGAAGTGGTAGAATTCTGCTATAAACTATGGATCACAGTAGTGTCCAAAGGTTCCTTTAACTGCTTCAACAAGGAAGGTGAAACCAGAGGTCTGCTGAGATGGTGGCTGTAAAATAACTGCAGATGTTTTGGTGGTAACGTCTTGATCCAAACTCTTATGAAACTAAGTTTTACAAGAGATGCATCACTGAGTACTGACACTAGATGGTGGCTGTAAAATAACTGCAGATTTTTTGGTGGTAACGTCTTGATCCAAACCTTTATGAAACTAAGTTTCACAAGAGATGCAGAGAAGTGTGCATTACAGTGTAAGATGGTGCGTTGGTCAGAACTGTTGTCTCCAAGTCAGAAGACTGGGGTGTCCATAATCCACACACTATTTAGTTTGGTGCATTTGGTGAAATTTGGATTCCAGTTCTTTTTCTCTTATGTGCTAACATTGGTTCAAGGGCTGAGGGCACCGAAGAGGCAGTGTCTGCCCAGCTGAGAGTAATGTCTCACCAAGGTACCAAAATTTCTTCATTATCGAAGCCACACAGACATCAGAGGGACGGGGGTGTGGTTCTGGGGATGGATGAGGGGGCGGTCTGTAAACACAGCTCCACGCCACTGCTTTGATTCGCTGTTCCAGACAAGATGATTTGTTTTTTGGCAGCGGCCCCTTGTAAAGCAGTCACAAGGCCTTGCACAATGTGACTCACCATCATAATTGTGGTGCTTGCAAAGGCTGTTTGTCCTTCTCTCTTCTTTTATGAGGGTGCTCAGTGGCTTATTCCTGGAAGTGGAAGACTGTTACATGAGGGGCCAAAAATGGCATCACCTTCATCTGTCAGATTTAAATTCTCAGGGTGCCTCATTGGATGAAAACACACGTCTGACTTCAGCCCCTGTCTGTATTCTATTTTTATTGCCAGTGATTGATATGTCATTGATAAAATTGATTTCTGTCAGTAAAGTGGATATAAAACATTTGCTACAACTAAAACTAATAACTACAGACACAGTTAGGTAACACTGACCAACCAAACATCTGCAGCTGTTGCTTAGAGTCCTCCCTCCTCCACACCTGGGTGTTGGGCACACTCTATAAAGCGTATTTAGAACACACTTCCAGGGGTGGAGAGGAGACTGGTGTGCAAAGTCAGGCTCCAATTGTCAATTAGTGAAGGCCAACACAGGCTGCAGGCTGGGGTGTACACAGCACATCAGCCTCTCTCTCTCTCACACACACACACACACACACACACACACACACACACACACACACACACACACACACACACAGGGTGAAGATGAAACTCAAGAGGCCACAGCTATATACCTGACACAGATTGTGCACACAGTAATGCTACAGACCAGCAGCAGCCCAGCGTGATGCACAAATACTGGCCAACATCAGAATAGTGCTACCAACCTAAGGTGCATCTAGTGAATTACAGTAAATCCTGAATTAGAAGTATCTGGATATCATGTGTATCATTTCTATCATTCATAGTAATATGCAGTGTACATAGGTAAAACTTAATGGAATAGAAACCTACAAAGATTCAGATCATCATTCTGAAGTACAATTCTAGCTGAGGAAGACAGCGGTGTACATTTTAAACATGCACAAAACAACTTTCTATCAACAGTGGATCAAAAGTGTAATGTGATATGAGCTACTTGCAGTGATGAGCACAGACAGTTTAGTTTGTGCACTACCTGCCCAGCACCACCACAGCTGGCAGACGAAGTTAGCAACTAGCTGGTGGACACAGTGGAACATTTAGCAGCTAAGCTAAGGGCCAGATATTTATACATTTACTATCAGGTGGTCAGCAGCATGACTCCAAATCAATTCTAATGTTGAAATATTGTTGAGTTTCTAGTGGAAAAAACATCAATGTGTTGCCAACATGTCTGACACAACTACTTTATGAGGCAACAATATGTCAGTATATGAATGCGGCTGTAAAGACCTCACTCTTATTCACTGATGACAGAAAGGCTGTAGTGGAAAACAGAGATCATTTGCACCATGTTTTGTTTTGTGCTAAACTACAGTTATGAGGAACTTTAAATATTTCCAGCTTATGTACTCCAGTTTGTACTAACAGCAAATAGTGCATATTATATTGCTGTACTTTTTACTTACCAACATATATTTGACCACTGCAAATATTTTACAACATGAAATTTTACATGCAAAACATATATGCAACTTGATAGATAGATAGATAGATAGATAGATAGATAGATAGATAGATAGATAGATAGATTGATTGATTTGTAAACCAAAACATTGAGCTAAAAGATGCTAAAACAAAGCAAAGGAAACCTGCAGAGACAGGCCATAATGCATTGGCTTTGTAAATGCAAGCAACCCTTTTTCACAATACATACAGTCATTTGATACACTGTTATTAGGAATTTAATTGTGGCCATTTTAATAAAGGCTCTGAATCCTCATTCTCTCACAGCTTCAAAGTGTTAGTCTGTGGTCAGTGTTGGGGAGCAGTGAACTAACTGATAGTTTGCTAAGTTACACTTTGAAAGTAGTTTCGCCAACACTGCCTGTGGTTTCTTATTAGGTCATTCCATCAAAATGTAACACAAATTTTAACCAAAATTTAAGATGTTCTGCAAAACAAAAAGTGAGTTAATGCACATTTCCACCTGCTAATATTATGCAAATTGTAAAAGTTGGGTCATAAAGATAAGTAGCTGAGTTACAGCCAGGTACCATCAGTTTATCTGTCTCATAATCTTCCTATCACAGAATTCCATAATCATTTGACATCTCCAACAAAGACAACTATTGTATGTGGTTCCAGAGATAGCTAATAGAGATAGAGTCCGACATTACAGACAGTAAAGTGGAGTTATTGGGAGATGTCAGTGTTTCGCGACTGGCCCTGCTGCTGCAGGTCACATTGTTGTTTCATTACTGTTTGCCTGTGGCCCCATGACCCTCCAGCCTTCATTTGCACCTCAGTGAGGACCACTCCATCACTGTTCAGGGCCCAAACCTCACAATCACACCACTGACATCATGAGTGCACAGCTAAGCCACTGGCCTCATGTGTGAGACAGGGACAGAGTTGAAAACATTTAGATTTTAGTTATTTTTGCCCTTGTTTTTCCTGTGAGTGCTGATTTATATTTCTGGCTCCTTAGTAAATAGTGTTTTAAAATTATCCCCGTACTTCTATCATAATGTTACTTTGATTTTACGTGTACATTCACGTTTACATATGCAACTGTACATCATTTCATTGTGTTTTTTATATACATCTTAATAAGAGGTGAGCATATTGATATGTAAAACATGACCATGAGTAGGTTATATTTAAAAAAAACTTTCCTTTATAAACAAAATGTTTTGCTTTCTTTGAATAATTACAAAGAAGATCAGAATATATCCTCATTATTATCCCTATAACAAGGTTATAAAACAAGGCAACAAGCAGCTGAGTTTGGTTTGTGTCCAAAGATGACTGTGGAGCAGTGCCAATATTAATGTGTAGATTTTGTTTTTTTTTAATTCAATCCCAGGTGCTAGTGTTTTAAGTCCATATCCAGTACCTTGGACCGTCCTCACAAGCAGACCTGGATGTGTGCTGCATGTCACACCATAATGCAGATTGCAACAAAAGGGTGCCACTGATGGAAAAGAACTCCATTCCAAAATTGGACGCTTCTCCGTCACCTCGTCATTTCTATTACTCATCAAAGAAGCCGCATTCACTTAGTGTAGCTGTGCGGACACCTTTATTTAAAGAAAGCTCATATCACTGGATCAAAGCTTGGACGGATGAGATTTGATGTACAAGACCAAAGTGAGAGTTACACCTTGGACCTAAACTGTGGGTCCAAAATTAGACATAGCTTTTTTCAGGTACATGAGCCTTGATGTTTTTCTTATTAATTAAACCACTTTAGCCCTTGTTTACCCTTTGACCTTACAGATTATGGATTTTATTATCACATACATGGTGTTTTATCCTTGATTCTCAGAAAACCTTTATGTTAAAACCTAAACTTTACTCAGGAAAAAAAAAATCCTACCTGTAGTTTGACTTAAAGCTAAGAAAGCATTTGAAAACAAATCAATAAATGTGGAAACTACATGAAACAGGCAAAAGAAACAGAGAAAACAAACCTTTTTAATTTATTATTAAATGACATAAATAAAACTCACAATGACTTCAAATACAAATAGATAGTTTATATACATGTGTTTGTGCAGGAGGGGGATCGTTATGCCCAAAAACACAACCCTGCCAGCACGATAAAGGCACTCAGTCTGATCTGGGAACATCTGCATTGCAATCACGAAAAGGCACATTTATATGGAAAACACTGGACATTAATTTATTCTATTTACACACATATACACATTAGTGTTAGCACAACCTTTTGATCTTGTAGAGTTAAGAGTAAAAACAAAAATGATGTTCAGTTGAGTTTGGTTGAGCGGAGCCATAGGAATCAAAATAAAATGAAGGCACATAAATGTGTAATAAAATTTACTAAGCGCAAAGAAGGCATTCTGACCATACGGCTATTCTAACTTTATTATTCTTACGTGAAACTGTCCAGCATGGAGAGAGGTGATTGTCTTTCAAGTTCTGCACATCAGTTTTGTTCAGTTTGACTCCAGCCAACTTTATACCTTTTTTTAAATTGGAGGCTGTGGAATGAATCTAAACTTATTCACGAAATAGGAGCCACAAGAGATCCTCGCAGGTCTTTTCCACATCGTCTCCAGGACCCCTGTTCATGTCTTTAGTCCTGTTCCCAAAGCTCCCAGCCTTTAGAGGAGACAGCCAGGCAGCAGAGTCTCAGCTGCTGCTCAGTAGCTCTGAGCTACAGGCGCCCAGGACGCGGTTAGCCTGGCAATGGAGCTCTCGAACTGGGCTTCCCCAACCCCCACCTCATTCAGGCTGGGCTCATACATGGAGGAAGGCGAGGAGACAGGCAGCGGGGAGGTCAGGCCTGTATAGGAGGAGCTTCTCAGGAACTGGGGGGTCAGACCTCCAGGTATGGAGCCCGAGGTCGAGCCTGAGGGGGTGAGGGTGCTGCCAGCTACTGACCAGAGGCTGGGGTATTGACTGTTGATGAGGAGGACAAGAGAGTTAGTTGTTGTATTATTGGCTCACCCCAGCCCACATTGGTACCCAATAATGGTCCCACTTTGCCCTTTCTGTCTACACGGTATATAAGATATCTCTGTGATGTGGTACTGTATCACTGACTGTGAATCACTTCAGCTAATAAACACACACTACCTCTTATACAAATACACTCACCAGCCACTTTATTAGGTACACCTGTATAATTGTATGCAAGTCAACACAACACTTCCGCGTTGACATCTCTGTTAATACATTATATTCAGAGGTGATCCTAATATTCTGACCCTCTCATGTATGTAGCTGAGGAGGATAGAAATATATAGACTCCAGTGGCATCATGTCGATGTCTTTTAGTTTGTTGTTTTATATTTATAACTTGATATGGAAGTGTCCCATTAGCTTTTGATATTATATTGTGTGATTACTATTATTATAGACTACACATCTGAATATAGTGTAGTCCAGTATAACACCACCTTTAGCTATGACCTCAATAATAAACATATAATTGAATTTATACATTTATGACAATTTCATCCAAAACTGAAACATTCTGACATTCATTAACACAGGTGTTAAAGCGGAAGTGTTGCCGTAAAGTGCATACAATTGTACGGGTGTACCTAATAAAGTGGCCAGTGAGTGTATAGTATGACAAAAACAAAGTTGCAAAAGGTTTATGAGAAAACACGTGGTACTAGTTCAACTGTAAGAGGCTCACCTGGAATTCGACGTGGAGTTGGCGGTATGGGACAGAGTACCCATGCCTGTGGAGTTTGGGATTTGAAGAGCAGACCAGCTGTCATGAGTGGGCAGAGTCCCTGAAGTGTTGTCCATGTAGTTGTCTACAAAGGAAGTACAAACCGCTGACTGATACTGATTCTCTGATTTAATGTGCTCCCAGAGCTGAGTATATTTTAAGATAAAAATAAAAATATATGAAAGCTATGAGTGGGGTCTTACTTGTGCTGGAGGTGCGGTGAGGGTAGTGGCTGGCCGTGTGGCTCCTCAGGCTGGAGTAGCGCTCGCAGTAGGAGCTAGAGGAGTGACCGGCTGTGCCGCTGAACTGAGGAGGGCTGCTGCTGGGGCAGATGGGACTCTGGCCGGGGAGGAACCAACCACCAACTGTGGACAAGAGTTAGGGCATACGGTATGAGAGATCACAGCACGCAAGACTTCCCACTGCTCTTTATCAGCAGCTATGACAGTTCAATTTTTTACTTGAATAGTTTCCTCTCTGGTAATCGTTGTTTCATTACCAGCTCTGTTTCCATCTTGTAAACTTTTGAAATCTTGAAACATGCAGAAATAAAAGCGACTCACGCTGAGAGTAGCCAGACTGTTGACTGTCTGCATTGTGATCAGGAACTTCTTTATGGTCACTCCTGCAATCCAGAACAATAATATTAGATACTATTAGCAAACTAATTTGGCAATTTTCAGCATTATCTTGGCTTTAACTTGTACCTTTCTTTAGCATCCAGGAAGGCCTTAGCGAAGGGATTGTGCTTTATCTTCAGAGCAGTGATCTGTGCGGAGGACGTGACAGCTGTTAGCGTTTCAATCACACTTTAAGACAGGCCTTCATGTAAAGCGCACACTTCATGCACAACTAACCTCTTCGTTCTGATAAGCCGTGACAGCGATGAACTGTGTCTCAGGGAAAGACTGGCTGCTGATCATCTTCTGGATGCCTCCAACCTTCACAATATGTATCCTCGGCTCGTATTTGTGCAGAGAATTCAGCATGATCTGTGGGAAAGATGCAAGTGATGTCACTGTTTTTCATTATTATTAAACAAAGATACAACCACTAAATTCAGCAAATTTCATCTTTGTCTCAGAACAAGTGAAGATGGTACAGCAAATGACATAAAACCAGGGTATCCTGTCAAATCATAATGTCCTTGAATTGAATGTGTGTCTCTTGATGAAACAATTCAGATTATTTTGTCTTATTTCAAAATGCAGTTGAAATACTACAGTCGTTAAAATTCATGAAGGATGCTTAAGACCTAAAGTCCGTCCTTATTCAAATGGCATATTTGAAAGTAAATTATAATAAATAATTAACCATTTCAGACTATATAACCTGTTCAAATTGATATATCTGCCAGATTTTTTTTTTAAATTCTAGTGCCTGATGAAGCTCTGTAGAAATAAATGGGTTATAAATCTATTCAGGGCACTATGTGTAATAATAACAGACTGTTTGCTCATGATTTGTGGGTTTTAAATCTCACCTGTCCGCCGCCGTTGAGTTTATTGGAGAGTTTGACTTTGCTGAAGGAGACGGGCGCTTTCATCCAGTGCGCTCCGAAGTTGGGGGAGTCTGGGTGGATGTAGACGCAGCTGGGACTCTGGGGCTCGGGTTTGCCACCTGGGACCCATTCTCCGTTCACGTATTTCCACCGATTATTGTCCGCGGCCACGAAATCCAGCAGCACCGAGTACATGGCGTTGGGGTCCAGGCCCGTGACACTGGCCCTGAGCACCGGAAACATCCTCCTGGAATTAGGAAATTGGACATCTATAGGAATGGCTGAGGTGTTTGTCAGAGCTGCGCTGATTGTTATTAAAGCTGTTTTTCGACACAACATTCTCTTTTAGCTCAGTTACAAAAGCTTCCATTGCTACATCATAAAAACCTCCCATGGCCTCCAAGGCCGCAGACCCTGACAGCGGACACTTACAGTTTGATATCAGCTAAAAACCTGCGTTACACCCTTAAGAACATTTTTACAAACTAACATATACTTCTCACACTGAAATCCACGGGTGAACCTACCTTCCAGTTTTGGTGACGATCATCTCGTTAGTTAATTCTCTGAATTTGTTCCACAAGTCTGCATCCTCCAGTGCCAGTTTTATATCCCTCTCGGACGCGTCTCCCTTCTCGCTGCCTTTCTGGAACTCGCTCTTCACGGCGCTGAGGAGATGCTCCAGGCGCTGGTCAGGACTGGGAGACGTCATAATTACAGCAACAGCAGACAGAGCTAAATCCAGCACGTTTAGTTCAGAGCTCACAGACTCTAAAACCAGATGACAGAGAATCCGGAGTGACATGGTTTCTAAACCCCGAGGCCTCATCATTTAAGGGCCCCCAGGGACCTCATGGGGATGTGGGCGTGGTGTGCGAGGACACACCTCAACTCTCTGCGTTCAACGTCTCCAAATGGCGCCTACACACCAGACTAAACCTAACTCTCTAGAATATAATAGATGTTTCTTTCATTTTATAAACTCAGCTTCTACCTTTTGAGTTGAAATTTGTTTTCTCAACCAAACTCTGCTCAAAAATCCACTTTTTCTAAAAACATCTTTATAATTGTTCAAAAACCAGTGCTGTTGAAAACACTGTGTGAAGTTTGGGGCCTAAAAATCTGTTACAGTAGCCTAATGCCTTGCACATTCAAAGCTGTGTGTTGAAACAAAAGAAGGGAAGTGAGGAAAGGGAGCCATGCCTTTGAACTCAGCTGTATATTTGCAAATAGTGTTAATCTTTTGTTGTCTCCATTCCACATGGGAGAGGGCTTGTGTTTACTGAGTATGGGCCATTAGGGCAGACCCTGTGTTCCCGTTGTGCCAAAGTGTGGACAGCCCACAAGTGATGCCTGGATTTGCATAATGGGCCTGCATGACTCCCTCTGAGGCTCTGATATTAAATACCACATCAAATTCCCAGTTCGTGGAAATCTGATATAATTTAACAGCTAAACTTAAAGGTGAGGATGATACCCGCAATGTTTTATTAGTATCAACAAATCACCTGAAAAGACCAATAACAACATTGTGTTTGTATGTCTCTCAGTGTGTCTCTATTGAAGACGTACATCTTTAACAACAGTTCATGAATATGTACTTTCATTGTTATGTATATTTTATTTCAAACAATGTCAAACGGCTGGCCATTGTAGTTTTTAGCAAACATTAGTCAAAAACAAGCGACAACAAATTTGTTGGGGACTATTTTCAGCAGCAGATTAATAAACATTTAGAGCACTAATGAGTATTCTGTGTGGCAGAAAGGTGTGTGTGGGACACAGTGCAAATAAAGTACAGTGTGTGCATGTTATTGAAGGAACATGCCACCCAGTACACCAGTGTGACTCATTCTTAAAAGGTCAGTGGCGGAGGTCAGTGGCACATCAGGCTTTGGATTCACTCACCGTTGCTAGAAGAGCTGAGGTTTTTCACTTAAGTAAAAGTGTCAATACCACATTATGAAAATTATGAAAAAAGTGCTAATTAGGCAGAATGGCCCTGTCTGAATGTAGTGAAGTAGAATGACAAAGTCCACTCAAGCACGTGTCATCTCCACCACTGATTCAGTTGAACTATAATACAGTTTTGAGTTACTTTCCTTTGTGCTACTGCTGATATGTTTCAGAGGAACACATCGTTTTGTTTACTTTACTACATTTATCTCACAGCTATTATTTATGTGCATTCACTTGAGTAACATTTTTAGTGCAGATGGTGTTTGTAGTTTGGCTCCATTCCAGTGAAAACAACTGAAAGATTACATTTAGACTCATTCGAGCTAATGTTTGGTTTAACGTACACACCATACACACTCATGCTGAGGTGGCTGGGTACTCTGGGTTAGACTGGGTTGGACACATTCTTCATTTAAAACTTATGTATATTCTTAAATAGATACATTAACTTTAAAAAACAGATTTTCTTAATATTCCAGTCTCATGTTCCACACTATCATCTGACTCAAGGTGTTCAGTGTTTGAGCCTAACAAATGTTTCAGATCTGAGCCTTCTGGTGTTTTTTGTTTTTCCTGTCGCCTCTGATTCCACTGTCTGTGATGTACTTGGAATTGAGTGAAGGCTTTGGAGCGCGACTCCACTTTACTGCACCACTTCCTCCAGTTCTACAGAGGCCGTAAATGTGAAGGGGTTCTCTCACACCTTTACATTCCATATCATTCAGCAACCTCTTCCTTTTCCTCCTGTGTTTTACTTTTTGATTTGGAGGCTGAGAGAAAGAGACAGAGAGTGTTAAAAAGCGGCTGCATACAGGACATAACGACAGCTGACCGGCCTTATAGGTTCTGCTAACCCCCACCAGACAAAGTCTCACACAGTCACAGGAAACTGCCTCCTAACTCCAAATTAATATTTAATTCACTAATCATGCCTGACTGGTAAGTCTGTAGCTGCAGCTACCAAAATGTTTCTTAGCTAAACTGCAGTTGTGTGGCAGCTGTTGCCCAACAAAAATTATCAACGCAGTGCAACACAAAACATCCTCACAGTCTGACTGACAAATGCGTCCAGAGGTAGAGGAGGAGAACCTTCATCCCACACAAAGTTTACTTGAAAAGCCACCTGAGATTTTTTCTCCCTCACAGCTTCAGTCCTCATGCACACAGTGCTGCGGGCCAGAGAGCTGAGGGTTAACTGATGCAGGCCCTACGCTGGCATCAGCACACACTCACCTAGGTGAGAAATATTACAGGGGTCTGGTGCTTCACAAAGGAACAGTTATAACGAGGCATATTTTCCAGAGGACTGCGCTGGCCTAAATCAGTAAACACAGGGAGGCGGATGAGTCAGCCCTGGAAAGAACACACACACAAACACATTCATTTTTTTATGAATCATGAAATAAGCTGGTAACTGGACAAAGCAACACATTAACTCAAGCTCTTACTTTACCAATATGGACAACAAAAACCTTTCCAAGGTGAAAGCAGCCAAAAAAACGATATCTAATAATGTGTCTGTTGTGGAGGAAGATGCAGCTCAGTGATGGGTCACGTGTGCACAATGTGAATACAGGATACATGATTTTTATTGACAGTTTGATTAATAAGCAGATGCTGTGGCACACTGTGTTGTGTGTTTTCTGTTGTTAGTCTGTATTAGTCTCACAGTTACTGCTGTCAGAGCCATAGCCAGTGTCACCCCCTGTGCCCCCAGAAAAATTTGACTAGACACCACAAAGGTCTCCATTTATTATTATTATTGATTTTTTGGTTGTTGTCCTTATTCATGTAAGTACCAAATAGTAGTCACTATACTAAATATCCCTCGTCAATATAATGTTATCATACTGTATATACTATTATGTATAGTGTTAATGTTAGGGATGCATTCATGTGTGAGATACTTTTTATTGTTGTAGATGGTGGAGTAAGTTTGTACTTTTAGGTGCTTTAATCTACAACATGCATTATTTTCTATTATATTATCAGATAATTGTGATTTTAATCTGTAAAGTACCATATTTCTCTTTATAATGGAGTGAAGTAGAAGTATAAAGTTGCATCTACTAGAAATACTAAAGTAAAGCCCAGGTGCAGTACTTGGTAGAGGGCACTGTGTTTGACCTTTGACCAACAAATACAGTGTGAGACATGTACACCCAGGCCCTGTGTTGTATTTTAATGCCACTATTAACTGTAGCATTGTGTGCATGTAAAGACAGAAAGAAAGAGCTGCAAGTGAATTAACCACCAGTAAGCAGTAAAGACCAGTAAAAAAAAACAGCAGCATGCACACACACACACACACACAGCTCCTGCCCTCCCCTGATGTGGATTGAGCTGTGAGCTTCGTCTGTCACGTTTGCGTTTCCACTTCAAGTTCAGGAAATCTAAACTTTCCTCTTCTAATCACCCGTCCCTTTGAAAGGGATAAAAAGAATTAGTGAGGACAGTAATTGTCCCCCCTTGGCCCCCGCCGGCCCTCACCTAGGTGCCCTACAGTAGACCTTGAGACCTTTGGCATGCTAATGATAGGAGGCTCAGCTTTGACACCACAGAGATCAACCCCTGGAGAGTAGCACTGCTCCCAAGGTGGAGAGTTTGCCATGTTTTGTATGAAAAATTGTAATCCGTAAAGTATCCATGGCCATAAGATAAGCGTGCAATGTTTCCCTCTGGAATGCAGTGGAGTATAAAGTAGTATCAAATGGACATGCGCGAGCAAAGTACACAAACCTTAAAATGAAAAATGGGATGTGCAGTTGAAAGTAAAAGCTGGTGCTTTGTCAAATTTGACTCTCGTTCATGTTTTTGTTTGATTCATTTATTTGTTTTTCTTCTTGTGCACTGCTTCCATCAGAACCAGTCAGTATTGTTGACGCATACATAGCATATGACCCCAGGTCTCAGTGCCTCTCGGTACATAAAGAGCTAGACACCAGAATATCTGTATTCATGTCAGATTGTTACCATAGAGTCACAATACACAAGGTTTATAGCATGAGAGTGTGTGTGTGTGTGTTTAAAATGCTTTAATCAGTACTGTATGGATAACAGGGTCCTCTGTTTACAAAGGTAGGTGACACGAACAGCGTAAGTGCAGTATATGTCTTTGTTTCATGTTGTATTGAGTCTGAGTGTGAAGTCTTGTCATCCATGCTTTTTTTACATATTGCCTGTATTTGGACAAGTGTGTTAAGTGTATATTATGACAAAGAACAAACCAAAGACAAATTACAAGACAGCTATAGTCTAAAAAAAGGACAAAACTGTTGTTTCTACCACTTTTGATAAATGCTGATAAATGCTGATAAATGCTGATAAATGCGGTGAGCTGGAATGATTCCCTTGTGATTTATTCATTTCCTGCCCAAAAGTGTTCTGTCTGTTTGTCTCTTGTGACAAGTCATATGATATTCTACAAAACTAGAATGATTTTTCAGGAAAAGATGCAGCTGATCTTCAGTCATTTATATTTAACTAATAATTTTATAGATCCTTTTATGTGTTCTAATGTTGTAATTAAACAGCTAATCAATGGAGCCTCTTTATATATGATTTGTCTTCGCTCATGTATCATATTTATGAGGAAACAGCTTCACCTTTACAGCCACAGCTTGATGGACAGTGCCATCACATACGTCCTGTCTTTTCTAGCACAGTTTTATTTGACAGAGCGGCTCAGCATTGCTTATCCATTGAGACTGATATAGAATATTATCAATGCTGTAGTATATATGGACACACACTCATAATAAAATCATTAATTCATGCCTTTACATCCCAGTAAATAGTCAAGTTGTGTTTCACACA